ATTATTAAATATTATCACCGGACTATGTTTCATGGCTTAAAGTGCTTTCTGTGAAAAATTTCATAAAGCAAATAATTTGTAAAATAGTGCTAATTAATGGGTTTAATGTCTTTACAAACCACCATGGAAGGAAGCTGAAAGGTTAAAGACACGCACACACAGACACAACCCAAATAGCCAAATGGAGTGAAGCTAATTTCACAGCACACTCTGATAACGGAAGGGAAATCGATACAAGAATTAAATGATGAGGTGAAAGACTGAAGAAAGTGGGGAAAAAAGCAACCTCAAAGCATTTTATTGTTGCAAAGGAAACAGTAAGAGGAAATTCATACAATAGGCATCAAATAAATCTATTGTCTAGGCATTAGCCGCAGGCAATAAGCCGACGTCCATTTTACCATTTCTCCACTTTACTAATTATTTGTTCTCATCTCTCCTTTTCCAATTGGAGAGAAAGGAAAGCGAAAAGTTTGCTTGCATTTTCGACCTTATTTTCCATCAAAAGTAGTCTATGGCAAAAGATGATGAGAAAGTTCAAATGGAAAAATTCGGAGCAATTAGCGAATCCCATCCGATAGTCTGAGCCTAAAAGTTAATTGTCAACAAGAGGATCGATTTTATTAATTAAAGGATGTGCAATATAGCTAGATGACGAGGAAGTGATTAGTTAGTATATTTGGTGCATTATTGTGCCTAAATGGAAAAAAAGAAATCCAGTCAAAGCGGAATGAAACGTCATTCATTTTGACCAGCTGGGTTAATAGGATAATGGACACCACTCAGGAACAAATTAAGGCATTTTAAATTTAGGCCATTAGGAAATAAACTAGAATCAATAATTAAAGTGAAAACAAGTGATCAAAAAGGAACCGGATCAAAATAAAACGTCTTTTACTAAGGAGTACCTCTAAGAGGTTAAGAGAACTCTGAGCTCAAATGCAAGAATTAAATGATGAGGTGAAAGACTGAAGAAAGTGGGGAGGTTAAGAGAACTCTGAGCTTAAAATATAAGAATAAAAAATCTTCAACTAAGACGTTGAAATTATTGAAAGAGCTTCAAACTTTCAAAAACCGTTAGGAGAAATACTCAAAACACTTGACTTAGAGTGGAGGGATAGTAGTCTGAAGACACTCCAGTCAAGGTCTCACATCCAATCGCCCCTATTATGGAGCAGAATTAAACAGAGCAGTTGATTTCCCCTCCCACACACATACACGCTGGGTGTACAACAATAAACATTTGTCTACTGAACTCTGACTTTGCAGATGTTCACGTCGATCACTGTGACCAAAAATGCATGTTCTGTTCCTTTAAAAAGAGGTGCTTTGGAGAGGGCAAAGCCTAAAAACAATGCGATAGTTGTCACGCTAATCACCAACAAAATTCAGCAAGTATCTCACAAAAGGTGCCATAAGGAGTGAAATTATATGTGTAAACCCAAAATAAGCCTGGCATTGTTATACTTATGTTAAACTAGTATAACTTAAACCAACTTCTATTCTTAATTTATTTATATCAAATGGAAGGCTTTTTGATAATTATCATTAGCCCTTTAGCTGACATTAGGCTTCACAAAAAGGAGGAATATCAAGGTCACAAAAAGTGGAGAGGGGGAACAGAAGAGTGATTCACAAATGTAAAAGGGAGACTGACACAAAGGTGGAGAGTAGGGTAAGGTGAGTACTGTGGAAGTGGTCGAATATGACATAGAGTCGGGTAAACTGTCGGTTTATAGACTTTTGCCGTATGAGTATACGTTGTCCAGGGTGCACCACGTGGAGGCAAGTCTATCGCACAACCCATTTCCATTCTTTATAAAATCTAATAAATTCTAAATTCTCGGACTTGAGCAGTTTTTTAATGTTTGCCTCTTTTAAGCTGCGGCAGGGGTAAGAGATCAGGTTGAGCCACCCACTGGACGTTCTTGAACCACATTTCACTCACACTCGAAGAGAAGGCAATAAAGACGTTAACAAGACCGCTAAAGGAAAATAATAATTAATCACTCCACCGATGAAGAGGGACTTTCCTGCACTAACTGTTTGGGTAATCGAACCAGCATACACCCAGGGGTTTAGTCATTTCACAAAAGTGCATCGACTACGTGGCTTTATAATGACGGCTTCTTGTAAGAAAGAAGTTAGGGGGGGGTTCATTCTTTAACAATATTTTCGAGCAAAAATTAGCGAATTAGCATCTTTCCACTAGCAATTACTTAAATGGAGAAGTGTAGACAAAATAGAAATTGTAAGAGTAAAAGAAAACAATTAAATGAAAGTCCTCATTGAATTTCTGCAAAGGGCGTATGGAATAAATAAAAATCCATGGAACCTATGGGTAAAACCGAAATTTTTGCTTTCTCCGTGGTAGAAACATGATGACTTTTGTAAGCAAACGCACGCTGAATCAATATCATTAAAAAAATTGACAAGGAAACATTATCGAAGTAAGGAATCCTCCACTTCTACTAAGGAAGAGGCAGCTCGCTCGGCGTAAACAAATTCAATGCGTCCAAGAGACTGTAAAACAGACAGCAAATCACTCTTAAAAGCCTATACAGTTCTTGCACGCCTTCTTCTGTCACCAAACGAAGGTAAGATGAATTTGGAAAAAATTTTTTGGTTTAAATCATTACAACTCCGAATTCATGAAAATTAACTCTATTTATCAGACTATTAACACTCACAAATAACTCAAAGGGAAGAAGGTTTGAGGGGCAAAAGAGGAGAAGACTGCTTTAGTCTTATAGTACAAATCTTCGAATTCAACCTCGCCCAGTAAATACCTGACACTTTCATTCAAAGCACTGCATTTTGTCAAATGAGTTTTAAGGTGTGAAAGTTTGAGTAAACATTAGAAGTGAGGAAAGCAGTGCTCTTTAAGCAGGTTTTATAAAGTAGATATGCTTAATCTTTGGTGTAGGTGAGCCTATTAAGGTCTAAAGAGATCTTAACAAAATTGTGGTCAAAAAATATCGACGTAAAAACAGCACAGATCACCCATTGGCAAGCCAAACTCAGACACTTACGCATTGCAAGTTAACTTACAATGGAAATGAGGGTTTGTGATTGAAATCCGCATAGCCTGAAAAAAGGGCAATTTGGCCCATATCAATTCGCAGACATATATCGGTGAAATTATAGTAGGCACACACGTTGTCATGCCAAGGCTAAACGAACTAAGAGAGTCGTGATGACACAAAGTGATTGGTGTAGAAAGAAGGGAGAGGTGGAGTTTATCAGGCACTCAAAAAAGGCACCTACAGATGCACGATTTGCTAAGTTAGCAGACGGGTACAGATTTGATTTCCTTGAGGTATTTAAATGCGAAAAAAGTTAATACTAACACCCATTCATGAAAAGTACATACAAAGTAGTTTTCCATTCAAGCTAGGATAAAACCTAGCAACGTCAATCACCTTAAGGCAAGGCTGAGAGACTGCCATTCATAACTAAATAACCATAGATATCTTTAGGTCTTCCAGGCAGAGTAACCGAATTTAACTTCTTTCAACAGCATGTAAGGAAAAGAAATCGCGCAGTTCACTAACAGTCCAGTTTGTGTTCAAACACAGAAAAGGAAACAGCTTCAAGTTTTTGCTTAGTAGACAAATTGCTCGGCATTACTTAAGAACAATAAATTACATTGTAGTGCTAATGGGAGGAATTTTAAAATCAAAAGCAGACCGAAAACACCTCAGACATTGCTTTCCGTTATACTCTAATCGGGGGTTGAATTTAAACACGGCTGTTTAAGCAATTACCGAAATTTTTAGTCAAGTATTCACCGCCGCATCAACTGCCCCACCATAACAAAGACGGGAGGGCAAGGGCGTCCATTTCCTTGTTGTCTACAGCAAGCTGTTATGGAGGTGGGAAGTTAATCGTTTGCTACAATTTTAGTGGAAAAAATAACGAACGTCTCGAAAGCAAACACTTATTCCACTCCCTAAGTCAAGCCATGATTGACCTTCCTGAAACCATTTTGATTTGGTGAGGATGTATATGGAATAATCCATTGTGAGTAGCTAAAAAGTTGATGAGAAATAGTTGCAGACGCATTTTACTGTTGTCGACAACTGAGAAGACTAGACCAGATGTTATAAAGAATGAACGTCCAATTCAGCTTAACAAAAAATGGATAACTCCTCGACGCGAAAATGGTGGACACATAAAGCGAAAAATAACCCCGGAAAAAGCTGAAGAATTGCATGTAGAGGTTCTAGCACACAGCCCATATTCACCAGACCTTATCCCATTCGATTTTCACATTTTCGGATCCACAAGGCGTACTCTAAGAGAAAAACGACTTAAAATGCGACTGGAGTTTAAAACAATTTAAATGAGCAATTTAACTATAGCACAGGATAGAAAAATTGCAAGGTAAAAAATGAAATTGTGGATGATGAGGCAAATCATTTTATGTAGCAGCCCATATACAATTTAAAATAATAAAAAAAACATTCCAAAATTGTTTTTATGTATGAGTGATTTCTTACTGGTACCCTTGATATATACCTTCGCATCAAACTCCTTACGCATTTCGATCAAATGGACATAGTAATAATGATTTCTTGAAACAAAATGCATTAATAAGTCCTGTGCTTTGAATGCAGGCGTAAAAACTGTGCTACAACATTTTCATTTGCTAACCCTGAAGATTTTCATAATACGAAGCTGCAGTCCTCTGAATGGCAAGCCCCGATTATGGCAACTATAAAGGCTTTGGTTATCTCGAAAGGAGATTAGATAAGCAGTTTTACGAACCATTGAAATCAGAGCTACCATCATATTTCGCAATAGACCCAAATGTTCCCGTAAGCGTAAGCACATTTTAGACCAATACTCATCGCCACACTTCCAGTGCAAGGCATAATCGACAATGTTAATTAATAGTAATCAAGAGGGAAGTTGCAAAACGCGATTTTCTGAAACTCCAAAATGACTACTTAAAACGATTCTTTCAGTGAATTTTGTAAGTATATAACACTTAAACTTTAAATGCTCACCTTATTGAAAGCAACAAAAGTGAATGTGATAGCGAACCATGCAAAGCTTTGTTTCCGCCAATACCGAAAAGACAGCACAATTATTAATACCACTGAAGGTATCATAATCAATATCTTGAAGACCATGTACATCCTCTCTAGCGTAGCATTTTGGAAAAAGGCGTCCAGAATCCATTCAGGCATATAGTTGTAGGGGAATAAGTTTGGGTCGTAGAGATCTCTAGGGTTGGTTGAGTTTATGGCGAGTACTCCCTCAAATAAGTAGATGGGATAGAAATGGGGAGCAAAGTTGTGCCAGAAGTCAACACGCGTGAAGTGATAGAAGTAAGCGTGATGAAGGAACGTCCATCCGTAAGCCCAATATCCAGCCCCGGTTAAGCTCAACAGAGATGCAAGAGTTGCGAATCCGAAACACCAGTGGCGTAAAGTGGGTAGACGAAATATCGAAGCCTTAGTTGGATCACAAAGGTACAGGTAGACGGCCGGTGCATAAATAACTGGATAGAGTTTTAGATGAATGCAAGTTCCAAAGAGAAGACCCGCGAGTATAATACGGTTGCACAATAGTGAGTAGAGACAGGACAGCACAAAAACGCCGAGGACAGATTCCGCATTTCCACGGACCGAAACTGCAGCTGTTATTGGATTAAATAGCCAAAAAATACCCACTAGCCAGGAGATTGTTTGAGAACTCTTTGGGTGGTTCTAAAAAAGCGCATTATAAGAAAAGAGTTAATCCAATTAAGCATCTTAACGTATGTGGTCTAAAATTAGCTCTAGTCAATTCCAAAAGTGGAGTTAATGTAGGGAAAAAGAGTTCCCTCTAATGGACGTAAAAAGCCAATACGACTGCAAATGCAAATGCTAAATTTGTTCTGCCTAAAAACTGCCGTGATCCATCGGATAAGCAGGAGCTGAGACAGGATACAAACAGGAGGAAGTAATAGTAAAGTATACACTTCCTGTTTTCCACACACACTAAAATGTTCATTTTAATCGCACGTATTTTTCTTTCTTTCCCAATGTTTGCCTTTTAAATACATATTTAGAAATAGTAATTACAGGAAACAATCTTAAGAAGAGATTCTTCAAGTCTTAATTAACCAACTTTTGTCATGTTATTGAATTGAATTTGTTTCTTAACAATTTCCAATTCACGCTAGTTTGCAACTTGTTCAATCACGAGAAAACAACCGGATAATTCATCAAACCAACAAAAAATGCTTGAAAAACATCCGGTGAAGTCGTGCATTAACACTACAATAGTCAAGATTCCATCTAATCATAACCAATTAAAGAGTTAGAAGCTCTCATTAAACAAAACCCTGTTTGCAAATTATAATTAACTAGCAAAAATTAACCACGAAACTAGAGCAATATTTACGTTTAGTGTTTAAAACAACCAATAGTAAAATGAGTTTTCCATCAAGATCAGAGGAGAGCATTGAAACACCGTTTAATCATCGATTTTTCTTTCATGTTAGCTAACAAGCTGTCGAACATAGAATCTATCGGGAAAAATCTTTTTGAATCCCGCCTTATCGATAGGAATACAAATTTGGAAACAAATGTTCGCTGCTAATTCGTGGATTAAAATGCTAGTGCCCGAAGAATGTCCCCAATTATGGAAAGTTTAGAAAGCTAATGAGCCATATTAGAAGCAATTACTACTAGCCAAGATTTCGTCCATAAATTACTAGTCAAGAATAGGTGTCAATACACTTGAGGGGAGTGTCAAACAATCAGAAGAATTAAATGCTGATGAAACATCTGCTATTCCTAACAAATAACTACTGATTTGCCTAATTTTGCAGAGAAAAAATCGGCTCTATTGGGACAAAAAAACAAAACACGCGAGAAGCATGCTTTAATTAACAAATTGCGAAGTTCTAAACTGGAGATTAATGCTTTTACGCATTGTCCGAGAGTATAAAATTCCACATGAAGTTTGTTCACTCAATTGCCACCTCCACCCCCTATACTGAAAAATTTCAAAATACTTTAAAAAAACTCACGGGATGTTCAACCGCAATTATATTTCGTTGAAGCAGAGAGCATATAATATCGCATGCAATGAAAATGACCTTCCCAAAGGCATAAGCAAATGGATAAAAGGATACTGGGAGGTCAAACCGAGAGAAAACATAGTGTCCAGGACAAAGAATAATGGCGATCAATGGTGAATAACGATATGTTGGTCGATCTTCATAAATATCACGACCAGCCACCATGGATTTCGCGGCATCGGTAAAAACATCATAATCTACGTCTGTAAAACGCAGTTGTCCATCGGGCCAGCGGGTTGCGTCCTGCCAAATACTGAAGGCAAAGAGCCCTATTCGTAGAGCCAAAGCACTGGCTAGCAGGTACTTCAGAAAGGCACATGGAGAGTTCGATTTCTTTACCGACATCCTAAGGAGATGGAGCGAAAGTTAATGCTATTTAAAAGAATTTAGTAGCAATGTATTGAAAGCAAATTAATAAGAGGCCTTGCCTACACACCGTTAGCTAACTTGCCAACTGCAATTCAATAATAATATTAATGAAATTGGCCTTTAAGTCGACAGTCTTCAAAAAGCTTACAAACATTCCTGGGATTTTGCGATCAGAATTAGAGAAAAGGAGAACAATTTTATGTTTTTCACACCTTTATTAATATCAATGAAAATCGAGGGATGTTTCTTTTGTTCACAGAAAGCACTGAGGTAGCAAAACATACGTCGGAAATCTGAAAAAATAAAGGAAAAATTTGTAAACTCCCATTAAAAATCATTTCCAGTATTTATACTTCAGTGATTAATCTCATTAATTAATCCTCTAAATCGAGTATTTTTTAATTTATTACCATGTCTCACGGAATTTATTTTCACTCTTGATCATTATAAGAATAATTTTTCGAGTATTACAATAGAAGTAAATGGCTTACAGTTAAAGTCTTATAAGAATCGCCTCCTACATCCAATAAACAAAAAAATATACTATGCTTTATTACTTAATTTCCCATTTTTTCGATTTTATCGCCTTTGACATATTCCACGGTTTGTGCAAACATAGATTAATCCGTGGTGTGCGATAGACTTACCTCCACGTGGTGCATCCTGGGCAACGTATACTCATATGGGAAAAAAGTCTATAAACCGGCAGTTGACTTCTAACTTCAAACTACCATCACCCCACTGTATGTCATATTCGAATACTTCCATAGTACTCACCTCACCTTTTTTCTACCTTTCCTACCTTCGTCTTGGAAACACTTCTTTTCTCCTTCCCCCTCTCGACTTTTTTTCACTTTGATGTTCCTTCCCCTCTGTGAAGCCTGAAGTTAACTAAAGGGCTAATGATAACCATCAAAACGCCTGCCATTCGATAAAAGTAAATATGAGACTAATCTTTTTAACATTAATAGTCTTATATCAAATTTTTACTACAACTTGGTAAAAATGTTATACCTATTACCATTAACGAGCGATTGCGTAGAGATGGCTTTGTAGATGTATGTTAGTCAGTTTTTTGAAAGGACGGACTATATTATGAAGTAGTGGTTAAAATGTATGTGACAACTCAAAAGGTCATGAGACCATACGTACTCGTTGTTCCTTACTTTTTTTAATAATTTGTGAACACGAATATATATAAATAATAAAATACCATATAATAAATTTTCCCCCAATTACTCCGTATATTCTGCATCAAGTATTTGTTTAGCATCAAAGTAAATCATCAGATCGGAGACCATAAAAAATAATCCTATTAATTTGAGAACTAATACTATATTGAGACTTTCTATTCATAGACCAAGATGCTGTCTTAACTGACACTTCATTTTAATTCACACTTATAACTCAGTCTTACATCAGCCAAATGGAAAAGCAGTTTATTTCGATTATTTAGGCAGTTGCTATGAGAAGGTCTAATAGGTTGCGCAATCTCCATGGAATGGGATGAAAACCATTTTGATGAGGTTGACTCTCGTAGATTTTTTAAATCAGTTGGTGAAAAAAGCACACGTGCAAGTTAATTCATGCTATTATTACTATTAGCTGATGAAATTTCACAAGTGCTTCACAGAGCAAATTAAGTGTAACGGCAGATCATGGAAATATATACTCATTTCTATTAATACCTTCACACTATTCTCCATTTATATTAAAACAAGGCTTTGATCTTTCTCTCAGCGACTAGCTATCAATTATGCCTTTTTGTAATGATTAGTAAGGGGATTATCTAAAGGATACTAGAGCATCTTCTTGCGTAAAATATCAATCGTGTCATTAACAGATATGTGAGAGGACATCACTTAAAACAAGGCAAACTTGCCAATGTCTTTGTTCAAATCGTTTCTGCTCGGTGAGATGATCAAAGTAGTCCTGAAGACCCTGCATTTGATCTCGGTTAAATTTGATTGAAGGGCGGAAAATTCGGACATGTTCAATGGCCTTCTCCATATTGAGGTCAAAGGCATGCATAAAGTAGCACACCACGATGTAGGCCGAGCGCGTTCGTCCAGCTTTGCAGTGAATGTACACACTAGTATCGGTTCCTCGACAGGAATCTATAAATGAGAGACCAGCGTCTACCTGAACAGAAATGCAAAAAAGACCATTCTTATCAAGTAATCAATGAAAACATTTGCATGCATCAGCAATAGTCTTATTTCCTAAGCGGCATTCAATGTTCTATGGTATTCAGTTTTTCTTTCCCTATTCACGCATTCTCAAGCTCTATCAGTTGGGTAGTAATCAATAGACTGTTTTGGCCACTTAGAAAAGACCAGCATCTTGAACTTGAGCCGTCGATGGTGTTATAATTGTCGTGGCCTGTAAAAAAACCATAGTAGCCAATGGATGCCCTAAATTAGACTTTGGAATATCTGCTATGAACATATCTTTAGATCACAACAACACAACGAGCAGAATCTACGTTTATAAGCACACGCTGCCATTCTATCACTCTTAGCCTTCCCTACAACAAAGTCTCCTCATTCCATTTATTTAGTGGTGGCAAATACAAGATGGTCAAACGGTTCAGTTTTATAAAATTAATGCGTCAAAATAGCTTCACGACACCTAAAAAGATGAGTCGAGAACTTTTGAAAGATAGTGAATTCTCCAAATGCGACGGCACTCATTACATCCGAAAATAGAAAAGTTCGAAACAGGCAAAATTAAATACGATTTTGTTCATAAAGATGACAGAAGAAAATCTTTCGGATATAATTCACTTTGAATAAAATATTTACCAATAAAATAGCAGGTCCCTATATTTTCACCATTCTTAGTGAGTTCATGAACCAGAAATGCTTTAACTCTCATAAGTTAGCGGCTTGAGAAAGTCTTATTAATAACATTAATTAGCTAAATGAAGCTTACATATCAGAACAACTAGCTTTACCCTAGTATTCGAAATAAACACATACCTGTTCGATAGAAGGAACTCCAACAAAATCTTGAACAGGAAGATTGATATATTTGAGACCTCTGAAAGCAGCTTCAGAGGGTCCGAGTACGAATCCCTTGACCTCATGGGGCTCAATCATACTAATCACATGAGTTATGTTCTCCTTAGTTCTAGTGCTGTCGAAATCTGGTAGCATTGGTAGTCCACCAAGCACAATTTTGTCATTGATCCTGTCATACCAATTTCGGAGGCCTAGACGGCAAACAACTGAACCATAAGCTAGTGTAACATAAAATTTTAACTCCTTTCCGAGTCTAGAATTCATTGAAATAATTGTGGTTCTAAGGTGAAAATTGAAAATAGAAGATGGTAATTAAAAAATAATTAGCACTTTTCAAGCCCAACAATGGAACCGAAAACAGGCCAAAATCAAATAATATTAATAAAATGTACTTTAAGAACTGAGTCAAATAAGTGCTAATAAACATAAGACGATACATAGGAGTAAACACACTTGTGGTTGCCTTAAATAACGCACCCCATACGACATCAACTAAAATCAGTAATCCATTTCTGTTGAACGCTTAAACGTAGTTTATATAATTATCCAAAAATTAATCCCTTCATTGTGATTAAACACTAAAATTTTTTCTCGGTTTATATATTTATTAAATCTTTTCTATTCATATCTCTCCGATGGCTATATTATCAAGAGCTGTCTTAGATCTCAATGGTTTTGATTTATAAAATGCCCTGAAAACGTAAATTGAAAGGAATCACTAACCATATATGTCAAATCTACTTAAGTCTAAGTGAAGCAGAAAGTGGTTTTATCATTATAAGTTTCGAACTATCAGCACAAAATTATCATTGCAATTTCCAAAAAAACCCACTTTATTAATCTAAGTTCTCTGTTCTTCTGTACTAAAGTTTGTTGCGTTGGCATTCTACTTTGTTATTCTAGTGTTTATACACCCGTTTAGATTTTTAAATGTGGCAATCTGCTTCTTCATAGATTTTAAAATTTCACATTGAGTTAAGGCGTACCAACTAAATTAATATATGATATTATAATTGCCACCATGTTCACCGTACTAAACTCTCATATTTTATCTTTACATCTAAATTTAAGGATTGATAGATGTTTGTATATCTTATAATCATCAATAATAGAAATCGTCCTTAGCAAAGCAGACTGAGCAATTACTTAGTTCAAGACAAGAAAATTAATACACACAGAATTATCAAATAATTTAACTGTCCTCCTTCGAAATAAGTATGTCTAAGTTTCATATTTTAAATAACTGGCAATTGCTTTGGAATAATAAAATAACTGTTAATTATTTGCAAACTTCCGAATAAGGTAAGGAATTCCAAACACCTATTAGGCAATAATAGTCTTGCTAAAATGTGCATAATTAATGGACTCTATCTTAATCATTCCTGCCGTCTTCATTGCCCGCTCTTATATATCGGATTACTGATGGAGACCGTGTCTCTCTCACTCTTAGATCCATATGAGATCACCCCATATAATACCGCATTATACTACCTCATGAGATTAATACTTATTTCGAACTCTCACAAAGGTACTAAATGCCATTACTATCGTTTGCCCGGCCAAATACCAATTGAATATGCAACCTTTGCCTCAATTTCCATAGAGATCTTGTATCTTTTATTGTTTAATAATATGACTTCTTTCGTATTCAACACATTTCATCAGACCTCCTTCAAGAGACCTTCTGTTCCGCTGTTCATATTTCTTCGCTTTGGTCTAGGCGGGAGAAGTACAACATAAGTGAAGCACTAAAGGTAATATCGCCAGTTGTAAGAGTAAATTACTGTCGGAGCTACCGGACCAACTATTTATATTAACAAGTACTGATATTACGAAATAATTTATTTATTTCAAATGGCAGGCGTTTTGATAGTTA